TGCCAGCATATCGTTTTGGAATGATGGCGTTAAGCCAAATTATCGCAGTCGTATATAAATGTAGAGTTCTAAAGTCAGGTTATGTAACCAAATGAATTCCAAATTTTCAGCATTTGGCGTCTTTCAATCAAGTTGAGAAATGCTTGATATAAGTCAAAGATTATGACCTTATGCTCAAAATATAATCACCGACTCTCGGCTATATCCTTGCTGAGTCTGCCAGTGATGCAATGGAGTGAATTTTCCCGGGCGCGAAGGTGTGAAACAGGGATATTTTTAACTCAATTCAGGAGCAGTATGAATGAAATTCTCGATTTTTGAGGCAGTTAACCGAACAACGAGCCAACTCATGCAGGTTGAATCGATGTTTGAAAAACATTGTTACATCAATTTAACTAGTATCCAACATTTTTGCGACAATAATTGTTGACGACATTTACAGTAACCACACGTATAATGAATTCATAGTCTTTTTCATTCGACATCGTAACCGTTCGGCGAAACCTTCCAATTTCAAGCGATCTATGATACATTTTATGAATAAGCAGGTTACCACACTCTATTTGCTACACAGGAGTTGAATTCAGATAGAACTCCAAATTTTTCGTTATCAACATCAGAATGCACGGGCCTACTATGACAAAAATGGCTTGAGCCCGAAACATTGTGGCAAAGGCTGCTACACATAAATCGCAAAAATGGTAAATAAGTTCATTCAGACAATGCACTGTAAGAAATACACTACTGCCTCTATCTATTAATGCAAAAATGTGAGAAGAGCATGACTTTTTATCCATAAAAGACAATTTGCCAAATTCCGTTAGTGGTTTTTCGTGTGTAGAATGCACAATCCGATGCAAAGTAAGGAAGGTAACTTAATTTTTAGGTTTTTTCAAATTACTTACTAAGGTCGCCCACTTCTATTTTTATGCGCATTTGCCTGCAAACGTGCACTGGAAATTTTGCTGAAATTTAGATTAATCTACCTCTCAAAATCAATTAGTGTCTCGTTTGTACATGTTAATTTATCTAAAGTCCATCCTTCAGAGTTCGATTACACTTACTTACAAATGTGTTATCTACGGAGACAACATAAATCATGACAAATCACCAATCGTGAAATAAGTGCGTTTTTTATATATTCAGAGGATCATGTACTGCTGCCTCTCGGACGTTTGGCCCATTTTCTACAGAGTCCTAGCTTCCAGAGCACTGCATCCGCCCAGCGAGGTGTGTCTAAGCTATCGGCGACGAATGCTCCCCTAACGGTTGACGAGTCAAGTGGTCTTATGGCGCAACTTCAGCTTGACACGCGGGAGCTTAAGCAGGAACAGGAGGAGGTATCTGGTCCTGTCCGCCCGGAAACCGGTTTAGAACTGTGGCTGACTGTGCATTCCACCGTTTCCGGTTCAGCTGCGGCAGCCGCGACTGCAACAGGGCCGACGTCCATAAACATTTCGAGTCATGTTGTGTCAAATGGAGTTCTCAAGGATTCTGCGGGACCGGCCTCTCCTCCAATCCGTTTACTGCCAAACCTACTGTTAATTTCGGCCGGCTCACTGGAGGCCGCTATCGAGATCTTTGGACTGCCACTCTCTAGACGTCTAGGCCTGGTATGCTTGCATTTGCGCCCCCTTATTCAATGGTCATATTTCTGCATAAAATGCGCTCAGGAAACTAGTGACCAGAAGACGTTGCTTCAAATATAACTGATAATTATCGTAGGGTTTGTACAAGATATACACGCTTAGATATTAGCCAAAAGTAATAAAACAAATCATAAAACCGATTACATGGTGGATAATCTTCGCTTACAAGAGGGGAGATGTATTTTTTTAAGACAGATACCATACACTCCCTGAAATGGATACTATATAAATAGTCAAGTTTCAATACACTCGGAAAGTGGCTGTTGGAAGCAAAGTATCCACATAAGCTTTCGGTCATTGGATGAACAATTCAATTATAAAACATATACTGGAATGGCATTGGTTCAATGCCACCACATTAGTTACTCCTCCGTATCGTCTTTTCCAACAGTCACTGGTGTCAGATAATCAGTTCATTGGAAACTTTTAACATAATATTCCATAGTTATTTTTTTAAAGTACAGCGGAGGTTAACATTTTATACTCACCACATATCCATAAAACATTTTTCAACTGAAATGGTTCCATGCGTCGAGCAAATAATAATCAGGCAAAATAGACCAGTTATCGATAAAGTTCAAAATTTCCTCTGTTGACTGCCCGCAAGAAAACTATGGCCAAATTTCGATAACCATGGTGAGTATGATTAGAGCTTTTAGTAGAAAAGAAACTAGTTCGCAATCAAAAATGAATTTATCTTTATTAAGCAGTCCATAACAAAATATAAAGAAGCAAATTTAGAAGTCTGATAACCACTTGTAGATATTTTTCTCAATGGTCGGTGGAATTCTACTGCACTGCAACGTGTTTGTAACTAAACTGTAAATTGTGAGACTGATTTAAATATCTCAGCTGCCAATCAGTTACGAACCGACGGAGGTGAGTCCCATTATGCGGCCCATGGATAGTTCAACATGTCATAGTTAAATGGCGAGAAAGAACTGCTAGGTGCAACTTTCTAAATATAATAATAATTCTTCAATAGCCAAATGTGAATGACAGACCGTTCTTTGAAGAAGAAGAGTAACCAGTGGACGACTGTATAAGTTCTGTTCAGTGTAGTTGAATTTGCCGTAGCTGTTGACTAGAATACATAGCTAAAGGCCTTAGTCGACAATAACATTTTGGGAAGTCATTATCGATACTTTAAATAAACCCCAAATTATGATTGGATCTCAATCAGAATCAAGAATTCAAGTTCCCGGAGTTTTTATAACTGCGGCTATCAATAAAATCTGACGGAGGAATTTACTTAATCTAGTGCCTTCCATTACTTATCAATATTCATATTTCTGCAGACGTGCGTAACCTCTACCTCATGCTTTTCAGACACTTCGAACCAAAAACATTTATTATGAGGAAATGCTTGAATAAAATTAAGTATTTGTATTAAACTCATAGTAAAGTTCCTAACTACAAACATTTCGCATCAACGTGGGCTCAACTTATTGCGTCTGGCGTAGTACCATGTGATACCATAGAATAAAATTGGTAGTCTCATCGGCATATTAAAGTGGTGCTCTGCACTTTCGTATAACGGGGATAAACCCTCATTACCGTCCCAATAGTTAACCTGAAAGCTTAATCATAAATGGGTAACCTGCATGCAGTTACTGTGATTATCATAAAAGCTCTCTAATATTATTTATGTCACCGACAAGCGGTAGTTTTACCGACAGTTACGAAGAGTGGTACTGGTAGCGATTGCAGCGACTGTGGTTATGGTGGTAAGTTGTTCTCTTGTCAGTGGTAGCAGTATGTTAATTACAACTGAACGAATGCCAGATCTTACTTTGCGTAAACAAAGGGCTGTGGCCCACAGTAAGTTGTTTCTCTGTAACATTTATGTAATCAGTAACTACATGTGAGTACAGTCATGAACTTCAAAGTAATTTGACAGAGGGCACAAGATGTATGAAATGTGTATACTTAATAAAAGTCATGACTGTCACTGTGTGCATCTCCGTTATCATTGGTAAATGGCAGCTGTTTGTAAGTCGATCACGGAGCGTGGGCATACACACACACGCGCGCACGCGGGCATGCGCGCCTGTCCATATTTCAGTCACACGCGACGCGCACCCCGCCCGCTCGCCTTTCGCGCGCCAGTCTGTACGGCGATCACACAGGGGACAGTGCCGGTGTCACTGT